CTTGTCTGCAGGGGTGCGGATCATCCCATTCATCTGTTTGTAATACAAATCAATTATTGTTTTAATAAATAATAAATCAATAGATTATATATTACATGGTGTGAGTCGGCCCACAATGAATAATATAGTGGAGACACTAATATAAGCGCCCAAAACATAAATCCAAACTATATTTTGAAAGGGAGAGAGGAAGGAGAAGAGTGTCGTCACTTTAGTGGTGGGCTTTTTAAATAAAATGCTGATTCCTGTGTTCATAAAGGGTTGAGTAAAGTCGACGGCCTCTTCACGTTTGAATGTTATGGTGAGGTCTACTATAGCGATGTCGGCCTCATTCCTGATTAATTCGCCTGAAAATGAATTTATTTGATTTGTTTGAATGATTGCTTAATAAATATTTGTAATGAATGTTGTATATTATACAATGTAAAGTATAGTAATAAAAAGTATGTAAGTATGTGCCCACCAATCATGCCATTCCATTCACCGCTTTCCTCGTCTTTGATACCATAGGCGCCGTCGGAAACCAATTTAAAGCGATAATTAAAACCCATTATTTTGGATAACTCTTCGATGAGATCGACGGCGAATCCCTCGAACTGTTCGTTTCCGATACGGGTTTCGGCGCTGTCTTTGAACATTGTGTACGGCTCTGAGATGACGGTCGTCACCGTCAGCATCACGTTCTTCATCGATATGGCCGAGTAATGGCTCATCATTTCAGAGTTTATATGCAAACTACTCGTGCCGTTTGACTGACCACTTTGTGTCCAATACCCGATCTTCAAATATCAATCACAATTAATGTAAAGACTTTACACACTTTTGGGAAGATTCGTATTTTCCCAATAGTTTCCCAATAGGTTCCCAATAGTTTCCCTCCCAACATATAGGCATTTTCCGGAAAATATAAATTTCCCTCGAGAAAGTTAGTTCCCACACCTTTTATATCTTCCGGGAAATTCCCAATTTGGGGGGGGGAAGATATTGGGAAATAAGAATTTTCCCAAAAGTGTCTAACACTATTCCTATGAGTGTCTTCTCATGTTTAAGTATAGCCATAGGATTTAACATGGGATACCTGTTAACATGTTAATCCTATAGGCCCTATAGTATAGGGTGAGGAAGGGGAGGAAGCTGGGCCTAACGACTAT